GTGTGTGTGTGTGTGTGTGTGTGTGTGTGTGTGTGTGTGTGTGTGTGTGACTTCTATTATGATCTTGATAACACATAAACTCTGCTGCTGTTGCTTTGCCTGGTGCAGGAGCTGGAGTGGCTCTTGGAGATAAATCGTCTGACACACCGGCTGCTGTGTAAGCACATGACTTTGGACAGTTTTGATGCCATGTTCCGAGAGGCCAATCACAACGTCTCTGCGCCTTATGGACGCATCACCCTGCACGTCTTCTGGGAGCTAAACTTTGACTTTCTACCCAACTACTGCTACAATGGCTCCACCAACCGGTAAGAAAAAATAACAAGCGAGGGCATCTGGAGGCCCTGTTTCAAAACTGGACGTAACTCACTGCCCCCACACCCGCCACACAAAACGCACATGATCCACGCTGACAACAGCCGGTTTCCACTCGGCACCAGGGCAGTAGTGTTTTCATTTCCCATGTGATGCACCATTGCGTTTTAGAGATAAGCTTTAACCTCTCTGCTCTGCTAAGCTTTGAAAAAACAATTCAGGGTTTGCATGTAACAAACAGTGTGGCTGGACTGAAATGCAATTAACAGGCACCGTCTTTTCCTCCCCACACTCCCCACAGGTTTGTACGGACAGCGATTCCATTCACCCAGGAACCACAGAGAGACAAGCCAGCCAACGTCCAGCCGTATTACCTCTACGGATCAAAGGTCAGTAACGAGCCACATCAGCCAGGAAGAAGGACTTTATTTAGGAAGGATGAACAAGGAGGAAAGCAGATTGTACACAGAAATCAGTCACAGGGTGGGAAATGCCAGGAAAGGCTCATTAGCAGAACGGCAGAAACACACAAGTCGGCTTGGCTTTGCTGAGACCGAAAAGCTGCCAACAGGCCACAGCCCGGTGTTGGTGACCAACACTGGGAGAGAGCCCCTGTCTAGAGATGCAGAGATTAGAATGGATTGGTGAGACTCAGCGAGAGGCTCCCCTCCCGCCCAGGTATACGGTACCACAACAGCACTGGGATCTCTGTCGTTTGAAAGGTGAATGATTGGAATGATGGTGTGTATATATATATATATATTGCTTGTCGTCAATGTCAGGCAATCTGTCAATCAGATGTATATGGCAGCCTTGTTTACATAGAACTGGGGGGGCCTGGGAGGTAATGGTAGTGGGCTTGAGTGAGTTTTATTACCAGGGAAAGGTGACTGAAGGCCCTGTGAGATGACTGCACAGCACCGATACAGCACGTGCAGGGGCATGGCAGGCTTGTCTAGTGACCTAGAAGTAGACGACTCAATATTCCATTCCTAGAGCCCCAAGCTACCCATAACCCCACCCAAAATGGCTGATTGGATTTCCCCTTAAGCAATTCTGTAGGTGAAAGGTTCCCTGAAGACTGAAGTCCCCTAAGCAGGGCCAAACCCTGTGAGGTGAATGTCGAGCCAGCGAAGTCTCTGAGACTTGCAGGTACTCAGGCCTTCTCGGGATTTGGGCCCTGCACTGCAGGGTGTAACTGGAACAGTCCCAGGACTTGTGCTGTCTCCCACTAAAGTCTAGGGAAGTTTTACCTTTGACCTCAAAGCAAGCGGGATCAGGCCTACAGTTTAGTTCCATCTCCGAGTCCCTTTCTGCAGGGAGTGCCTGCTATCAAGGGGTGCCAGTTGTGGTGGTGATTTGGGGACGTGGATAGCTGCCCAGCTCGAAGTGGACTGTGAGCCTCCAACCTGTGTCAGGAATGGTGTGTTTTCAATGTGATAGAGCCCCGAGAGCCCGTTGTGTGACTTGGTCTCAATGTGCAGATCACTGACTGTCCTGTTGTGGAGCCAGTCTGCTCAAATGTCAATGCTCTTCAACTAGGCAGAAAGGGCTGTTTCTAAACAAGTTAACTCCAGTGTCTTTATTCCACTCTGTACCTCTCCAAATACATATCACGTCTGCTACGCTGGCGTAAATCGGGCGTCACTCCACTGAAGGGAAGTTTATTGAGAGTTGAATGTGGCCTTAATTTCTTAGGGGCTTGTTTTTTACTGATTTCTTAAATTTACTGTCAAGTATAAAATGGTTTTTTTTCTCTAATTTGGCAAAACTTGTCACCCGTGGCTGCCATTTTTCCACCCCAAGGCAATGTAGTAAGAACACCGATGCATGTCAGGTCAACATTTGCAGCGTGAGAGCAGCCCCACTGAAATGAAAAACAAATTGCTAGGCTTTCCCCATGCTGGGAGCTCCTTTTATTTCCCTTTCATTTGAACCCGTGCTGCGGTAAGATGGCCCTTTTGTCATCACTGCTTTGGGTTGGAAAGAAGCAGTGGGGGGACCTATACGGGCTCTCTGTCGTGAAACTGGAACTCCTCATTAGGACAGCCGTCATGGGGACCTCCAACAGTTCCTCCTTCATTCTGGTGCTCAGAGTCCCCTCAGGTGAGCTTGTCTGTTCACCCTCTTCCCTCTCTGGGTTGACACTGTACTGCCCCAGCCTTGACACTGTGTGGCACCCGGAGGACCAGAACTGCAAGCAGCCATAGACCAAGAAGGCCATAAAGCAGAGAAGCAGTAGGCTGCTCACCATCCACATGGAGGTGGCAGATTCCTGCTTCAAGCCGCGCAAGGCCAGCGGGTGCTGGTCGAGGGTGTGAAACGTTGTGCAATGGTTGCTGGAGGGGTAGGAGTTTTTACATGTGACGCACAGGATGTAGACGGTGGAGGGAGTGAGTCTGTGGAGGACCAGGGAGCTAAGGGAGTGGGGGACCCTCTCCTCGCGGTGGAAGTTCTGGCGCAAGTAGCCTGCGAAGACGCTGTTCCAGTTGGGACGGTACATGACGTGGTAATAATTCTCGGGGCAGGGGTTGTTTGTGGACCAGGAGATGGTGGCTCTTGTGTCAGAGACGTTGCGGACTTCAATGTTCATGGCGGCTCTGAAAGCAGAAGCAAGGAAATGCTTAATATACTGGGCCTGAGCCAAAGGCTACTGAAATCACCTGGGCTCTTTCCACTGACTCCGAGGCCCTTTCGATCGGGCCCATATGGTCTTCAGAAGTAAAGGGAATTCGTAATAGCTAAAGCTGGGTGGAAAATGCAGAGACATGTTTGTGAAAAACGTTCAAAGCTTTCTGGGAAGTTTTTTTACTGACATTTTGTATTTTAAAAATTTGCTGGCCAAGAAAACGGGGGGAAAGTTTTGTGGGGAAAAAAAGGCAAAACTTTTCATAGAAACGTCAAAAATTCAATAGCTTTCTGTCAGTCCCAGTATTATCAGTGGGACTCCACAGTTCGGTGGCAATGGTTATTTCCAGCCATCTGGTACACTAGAATAGAACTGATCAATTCAGCATTTGCACGTATCAATACAGTTCTGCCAATAGCACTCTCACCTCTGTCTTAGATAATTATATAGTACCTCTCACTGCACAAAAACAACAAGGAGTCTGGTGGCACCTTAAAGACTAACAAAAACCCCACGAAAGCTTATGCCCAAATAAATCTGTTAGTCTTTAAGGTGCCACCAGACTCCTTGTTGTTTTTGTAGATACAGACTAACACGGCTACCCCCTGATACTTATCACCGCACAGTCTTCAATATATTTGCCTTCCCAACAGCCCTATAAAGTAAGACAGTGCTATTGTCCCCATTCTACAGATGGGGAAACTGAGCCAGAGAGAGGCTAAGTGACTTGCTCAAGATCATACACAAAGTACATAGCAAAGCAAGGAATTGAACGTGAGTCTCCCAAGTCTCAGGCTAATACCCGAACCATTAGACCATCCCACCTCATTACCAGAAAGTCACCTGTCCGAAATAACAAATGGGACGTGGGTTTGTCCCTGATGCTCAGATCAGACATTAAACCTCTGCACCTCGTTGCTGGGTCTAGCTAGAAGTTTATGCTCCCCAAGGAATGTACAGAACATTGCAAATTTGGTTAACTTAAACGAGTAGCTAGTTCAACACAAGTCTTTCTCTTCCTATAAACATTTGGACTGTAAATCAAAGTTCCGTAGCACTCACTGGAAGAGTGCACGGTGACTGTCGGATTTGCCTAAGCACTCACTGCATTTTCAGTCGCTAACTTGTTGCTTTAGAAAGCACCAGGTCTGCCGATATGCCATGTGTTGTGCCAATCAGGGATCCTGATTGGGGAGCTTGCTTGCTACTGCAATACAAATAAATTCAATCATAACAATAGTCAAAATCATAAAATATAGTCAGGAAATAGACTTTTACCACCATGCTTATTCAGCAGGTGAATTTTATTGAAATCTACTGTTTAGCTTCAGTCAGGGATTATTTTGGTAGGGCCCCTCTAGTGGGTCACGTAGTCCCTTTCCTAACTTCACTGCAGGATCAATTCCTCTGTACAAATTCATTTCTATAAAGCAGAAATGTTCAGCTCTTCTCTCCCTGCTGTAGGCAATATTTACTTCTTTGCTAACCAGCCTAAAGCTATCCATCTGGATTTTCTCTCTTTTAATTTGCTTTCTTTCTCTTTTCCGATGTTCTTCTTTAATTCAAGAAACATCTCATCTTAACAATTGCTCTGTATCCGACTTTCCTCTCATGAACAGCTAAACACATGCACACATAACAGAGTAGCTACATAATCATAAAAAAGCTATTTACCTTTCTCGGCATTTATCTTAAGCAGTGGCCAATAAATGTTCAGTCATGAGACATGGATCTGAGCTTGTGATGTCTTGCCTTCCTCTCCACAGCCAGAATCCCTGGATAACTCCCTTGGTTGCGGGCTGATTAAATCCATCACCACTCCATAGTCTTGTATTATACCCTTCTTTGATTGCATCATCACTCGCCATAGCAACCAATAGAAAACTGTAGTCAAGCATCTTTCAGTGAATTGGTGAGTGCTGAGCCTAAAAGCTTTTGTCTGGGAGAAGTATTTGTCCATGAAGCTGAAAGAACCAGACATGGTAGTTTTGTTTTCTGGCTCTTTTTTTTTTTTTTTAAATGGGGGCTAATTAGCAGGAAAGCGACTGCAGCCAGCCAGCTCCCTGCCTCCTTTTGTCTCAGCCCCGTTATCGGTTATCTAAAGGGCATTCATAGGTTCATAGATTCCAAGGCCAGAAGGGACCATTGTGAGCATTGCATTAGACTTTTCGCTGCTAGATTGAAGAGCCCATTATTAAATATCTGTTCCCCATTGAACAAATCTGTCCCTGTCAAGGTCCCTTCCAGTCCTACATTTCTGTGATTCTGATTCTACGGAGGTACTTACACCATGTAGGTCAAGTCACCCCTTAACCTTCTCTTTGTTAAGTGAACTCAACTGAGCTCCTTGAATCTATCACGACAAGGCAGATTTTCTAATCTTTTAATCCTCTCTTAACCCTCTCTGATTTATTAACACCCTTCTTGAATTGTGGACACCGGAACTGGACACAGTATTCCAGCAGCAGTCGCACCAGATTCTAAAAGAAAAGGGTTTTAATTCAGGCCGAGGAAATATGCCTGCACATACAGGCGTTTGCTTTTTCTATTTCCAAAGTGCTGTGTTGACTCTGAGACTCTTGAGTCCCATTCATTCTTATTGTTCATGGGGACGATGGCTTGGCAAGCTAAGCCACCCTCCTGGGACCACAGGTTCAAATCCCAAGAATGACACATTGGGCTCCATGCAGTGCATTTCAGATGAGATGCTGAGGTTCTCAATGTGCTTTTTAGTAAGAGGACGGGGATTGGTGCAGTGCC